ATAGGAATGGCCTCCAACCTAATAGGAATGGCCTCCAACCTAATAGCGATGGCCTCCAACCTACTAGCGATGGCCTCCAACCTTTAAGCACATCGACATCAACTCACTCGATAGTTGTTCTTGTGAATTGCACAACTTTATGTATTAGTTTGTCCAAAAAACAATTGTAAAGGTTGAAGTGCTTCCAATGGAGTTCACTTTGAGCTGCAATCTTGCAAAGCGTTCGCACTTCGTTCCAAATCCTTCTAACGAGCCACTTCTATCTTTGAGCCGTGCTTCTGCAGCCTAAGCATATGGTGAGTGTACAGAATACCGTGTACCGATTCTTTTCAAAATTTATTCAGCAAACATCTCAAGGGCTTGCTAGCAACAAGAACCTACTATATAGGTGGAGGCCATCGCTATTAGGTTGGAGGCCATCGCTACTAGTAACAAGAAGCTATTAGTAGCAAAGGGCATTTCTACTAGGAGCAAGGACGCTACTAGTAGCTCCTGGCCTTCTACTAGTAACAAGAATACGAGTAACAAGAAGCCTGCTTGTTGTTTTTGAAGCTCTCAGCTCCCGGCGCTCTTGCTTTCAAATTTCCCACCGGCCCTGGATCCTCGCTCTGCGCTTGCGAACCGACCCTAGGAACAAACAAAAGGAACCAAAATAGACCAGTTAAGGCATCGACACTGAGCTGCCGCACCAACATAGGCAAAGGCCTTTCACGTGCGAAAGCACGGCCCCTTCTGTGGGATTTTGCACATGGTCTTTGGAAGCCAGGATAAGCCAGGGCACCGATTCTTCGCAAGGCTTTTCCCTGGCTTGCTGGGTATAGGCCTAGCACAGAAAGAGGACAGTGCCCCTACGGCCCGACTGTCCTCGCCGTCGCCTCATATCCCAAGCCGGAAAAGTTCTGGTGTGGCTGTGCACCTCCCAAGAAGCACATCAAAAAGCACATTGAATATAAAGCAAATACTATTGTAAAAGCACTGCAAATATAATATACTTGTCAAAGCAAATGGCTTTGTTAAATGGGCTTACCTTCCTTTGTTCATGGAGCTGTGCTTCAAGGAACTCTTCCAATGACTGCGCCTTTCCCATCTGGAACTCTGGGTGGCCGACAATGATGAAGTCGCTACCTGGCAATTCTGCTTACTCCCAGTAACTAGAAGCTTCCTTGGAAATTGTTTCACCTGTAGTATCAAGAAGCTACTAGGGGCTCCTGGCCTTACTACTAGGAGCAAGGACGCTATTGGTTAAGTTTCCCAAAAAAATCAAAACGAATAGTGCGACAGCTTCTTCAAACAAGCTCCGCCCCTTCGCCCTCAGGGCGATGGGGGGAGCTTCCTTGAAGAAGCCTGAGCTTTCCTGCATCCATACGTTGTAGCCGTAGCTACTTGCTTGCTTGCTTGCTTCCTTCCTTACTTGCTTGCTTGCTTGCTTGCTTACTTACTTACTTACTTAGCTTGCTTAAGCTTGCTTATTAAGCCTACTACCTCTCAGCGGCCAAAAAGACTCATGGATAGGTGTCATCAAAAAAAAGCTCATGCATAGGTTCACGGTCTGCCAACTGCTGAGGCAAAGGCGCTTCCCCGCATGCTCCGAATACATGTTGTTGATACTACGAAGGCCATACATGCTGCCGACCTGCCAAGCATGCCAGCATCTGTCCACACAGAAAAAAAGAACCAGGAAACCTTCGAAAGAACATGAAGAACAAATAACGAAAGCGTGTGAAGAATTAGTTTAACCAATTTCAATACCAGTGGTATGTTTGGCAGGATGCAAAACAGCTTCTCTGAACATGCCAGTGTGTCTGAGCAAATAGATGGCCACAAGGCCAGCTTGAGCCAATAGCTGAGCTGGAAAGCGAAAGGCCCAAAGGTCTACGGATTGAGACTACCTGAGATGTCAATGACCTGAGGGCCTTGAACGCTAAGAACTACTAGTAGAGTTCTTGTTACTAGCAGCAAGAATGCTACTAATAGCGATGCCCCTTGTTACTACTAGCAATGCCCGTTGTTCCTAGTAGCGTTCTTGTTACTGGTAGTATGGCCAGGAGATACTAGTAGCTTCTTGCTCCTAGTAGCGATGCCCTTTGTTCCTAGTTGCTTCTTTTTACCAATCAAAATGCAGACTTTGGCCTATTGGCACTGTGGTTCAAGTGCTTGCTCAGCAAGAAGGGAATGTTGCGACGATGCCTTGGTGGTCTGAAATCCATGAAATCAGATGCCGAAGGATGGATGAGGGATGCTTTCCAAAGAATCAAAGATCTGAAAAGCTGAGGATGCTGACTTGTGAGAGGGGTAGGGATCACAGTGGTTTGGATCCAGCCGACCTCGCCTCAGCACACTCTTCCCATCTCTTTCCATCTCGTAAAGCGAAGACGGAGATGATGAGCCAACGAGCGAGGAGCCAACGGTGTGAGCAGCAGTGTGAGGATCAAGGTCAGCACCGAGGCATGAAGCTCGAGGTCCTGCCGTTTCGTCTGGTTTTTGCGCTGCGACCCGGTTTGTCTCGTTCAGCATTCGAAAGACAATATTCCGGCCTTGAGCCACCCGGCAACATGTCTTTTTCATATTGCGTTATCGTTGTTTCATGTTGTTTCCCTTTTCTTTGTCGGTCTTTTCCTTTTGTGAGCCTTTCTTCAAACTGCCTAGTAATACTTAGGCCACGCAACAGCGTGCCACACTGTAGCACTGGTAGCGGAACCTGGTAGATCCGGCGTCGTTGCCGACCTTCAAAGTAGAAGACCTTGGCAAATTGAGGCCATTGAGGCCCTGAACACAAGGCAAACATGCGCAGGTGCAGTGCGAGGTCAACAAATCTTTGCCCTTTTTTGCAAGGTGAAACGCAAAAGAGTCTCCTGAGAGAATCTAAGTGGAGCCAGTTCTCCTCATCTCCTTTTCTGCTTCTTGTTTGGCCTCTGCCCAATCTTCTTTTCAGCCTTGGCAATCTGTTGAGGAGTTACTTTGACATATTCCAGGTTGGCATTGCCTTCGACTGCTGCCTTTGCAGCTACATTTGCCTCCGTCTTCTGCCCACACTTCTTGATGAAGGTCGCTGCAGCTGCTCCGACGCTGTCAGAGACATCCTTCTTCTTTTTCTTCTTCAGGATGTCAACTTTAGAGACTTTGGGTGCCTTGTGCTTCTGTGTGGCCTTGGACTGCTTGTGTTTGTTGAGGCTAAGCGCTTTCTGCACCATTGCGCAGAGCTCGCGTCGAAGCTACACGCAAAACGCTGCTCCTGAGGCCTTGAGCCAGCCTCCACGAGCCAAATATCAAACTCTTGCAACGTCTTGTGCAGAAACAGTTTGGCTGGGGCTGCTACGTTCTGATGAATCACACCTGTTGAGCAAAGGTCATTGACCGGTGCCTGGGCTCTTCTGGCTCCAACTTTGGTAGTTGAGTCTGCCAAAACAAAACTTCAGAGCTTTTGGATTCTAAAGACCTAGGAAAATGCTCCTAATAGTAAGGCCAGGAGCCCCTAGTAGCGTCCTTGCTCCTAGTAGCGATGCCAGGAGCCCCTAGTAGCTTCTTGTTCCTAGTAGTCTTTGCACTGCAAGTAGTGAAAGTTCATGGCGGCATATTAGCAGTTATTTCCGAATTCAACTCTTCTTGGTCACTGCGGTCGCCCACCTCCGTGCGTTGGAACCTCAGGTTTGGGTTGGTTTGAAGCAATGGCTTACGAGCTTGAAGAAAGTCAAACAAATCTCAAAAGAGCTCTGTTGAGTCAGTTGAGCTTCTCAATAGGTTGGAGCCCATCGCTACTAAAGTGTCCGCAGTCTGCAAGACGATTTTTGGTGGGTGGATTTATGGACGCTGCTGAGACTCACTGAGGAGGAAACGGTGACATGGATGGAGTCATTTGTCCAGAACCTGCACACTTGAAAATGCAGATCAGGTACCAAGGGTAGGTGGTTGAGAAGCGTGTTCCTGGTAAAGAAAAGCAGAAAAGGAACATAGAAAGAAACGTTTTTGTCGTTCTCTGCACTCCAAACAAAATCCTGTGTTTAGCTGCTGGCGCATGCTTGTCAGGCATTTTTTTGGAGCGAAACTCACTGGTTGTGGAGGGCCGCTCAGGCGTCCATGAGTTGAAAAACGGGCAATACACGGTCGGCGAGACATTGCAAAACCATTGGAAATATCAAAACTGCAGAGTTGTCAGAGTTGTTATAAACAAGATTCGCTTAGACTTGAGTCCCTGCAACTTCTCTCCAGCACACTGCTTAGGCGAAAGCTGGCATTTCTGGGTGAAGAGGCTGGTATCAGCAACTTCACAACGAACTGTTGATATCCTTTGACAACGAACTGGTGTCTTCCTCGGTACCTTTCATGAAGAAAGCGGTTGCTGATCCGCACTCTCACCCAGTCGTACACCCTATGGGGCATCTAAGTCACTTTACTGCCGCTGGTGTGGATCACCAGCGCTTTGCGCACGGCACATTTGTCACATTGTCTTGGCGCACCCCTGGTGCTTCTGACACATTGGGCACACCCTGTGGCCAGTTGGAGACCACATGGAACAGGGCTCCAAGCACTTCAAGTGCCCCGAGCACCTCTCCGTGTTGCTTTTCAGCCACGGAGATTACCAGCTACTGGTGAAACCCAAAAACCCACGGATTCTCCACGGATTTAATTCAGCTCAGAGAGCGACGATCTTTTCACACAGCGACGATCTTGTCTGTGTGCAATTATTTGAATAGTCCCGTGCTGCAAATCTGTGTTTGAAAGAGTCAAACGGAAAAAAGCTTCAAACAGCCTCAATTTGATGTCACTTGAGCCTCGCTCTCTTCAGCCCCGAGTCTACGGACGATGGTGCCTCCAGAGCAAATAAGCGAAGAAGGTCGTTAGCACAAGCTACTGTCCCTACTCGTTTAGTCTAGGAGCAAGGACGCTACTAGGGGCTCCTGGCCTTACTACTAGGAGCAAGAAGCTACTAGGAGCAAAGGGCATCGCTACTAGGAGCAAGGATGCTACTAGGGTCCCTACTCGTTTAGTCTCTTGTCCAAATTCCGTTTTGCTCTCTGCAACTTTCCAACGAGCGATGTTTTCATTCTACAGAATGCTCCAGGCCTAAAGGATTGGGTCTCCGAGGCCATCGTTCATTCCATCTGCCCCTCGACCTGATGCGAGCTGTGAAATCATACTTGAAACGCTCAAAGACATTCTTGTGACATCCATTGTAACTAACCTAAGAGCGATGGCCTCCAACCTAATAGCAATGGCCTCCCACCGAAAAGCAATGGCCTCCAACCTAGAAAAATGTAGAATAGGAGCAAAGGGCATCGCTACTAGGAGCAAAGGAAGCTACTAGGGGCTCCTGGCCTTACTACTAGGAGCAAGAAACTACTAGGAGCAAAGGGCATCGCTACTAGGAGCAAGGATTCGAGTCAAGCAGTTTTGAGGGGAGAAAGGCGGAACAGGACGACGCAGAAGGGAAGTTCACCGGAGGGCGTTTCATCACGTCACACGTGTCGGGAATGCTCCACGTGCCTCCTCCATTAGGAAGTCAGATTGTGCCTCGGGTCGCTCAAAGCTGGTCAGTCAGGCGTGAGAGATGGTCACGTATTGACTTGCACCCCGCTACACACAAGAATACTTTCTTTGAAGGATGCTGTTGATTACTTCTTTCTTGTAAAAGGCCTGTCGTTCTTTGCTTTTCCTTGTCCTTTCTCTTTGGACTTTTGGACACATTGACCTTTCCTTTGTCCTTCATCTTTCTTTACAAGCAAGAATGCTTTCTAGCTGCTATTCTGTTGAAAGGTGCTGGGTCTCCTGCATCTTCCGGCGCCAGGTGGGACACGCCTGCACAAACATCCCGCAAGCCTGCTACGAAGAATCTCGGTTTAAGGTTCAGTATTGTTCAATGTAGGAGCAAGGACGCTACTAGGGGCTCCTGGCATCGCTACTAGGAGCAAGGACGCTACTCACCTACCTGCAAGGTGGTGTTCCTCGCCAACAAGTCTCCAATACTCCATTGCTAAAGCCCTCACTACAAGCCCAAGATTGGAGGACTGGAAGAAACACTAATTACATGCGTTTGCTCCTAAGCATGTTCCAGCAGAGTGACTTCTCATAATTGAGTGCCGCTCCTTGACGTCGAATCCTCATGACCAAGAAGGTGATCAAGGTCACCTAAAGATGAGACAGCAGGAGCAATTTATCTGTCATCTTGGAGAGTAAGAAACATCAGAACAATTCAGTTGCGAGTCAAGCCTTTCACTTCCTCATTCAAGATCCCACAAGACGAGCAAAAAAACGAGGAAATGAGATAAGATAAATACAGCTTGGATCTTGGAATAGGGCCATGCTGAAAGAGGTGATGACATAAGCCGCAATGGCAAAAGAGTGATCCTGCAGAGCAGAATGACGGCATTGGCAGAACCTTCAGAGGGTATTAAAGCTACTTTCCGACACAAAGTGAATTGCTGACTTATCGTATGGGTCCATGATGGTCCATGATCCATGGTTCCTTGACCCATGCCTTCCATCCATCCAATCCCTCACTTCATTTCATCTCGCGTTCGCTGTACATGATCAGGTCTTTACCGATGGGTGAGATGCCATCATTTCGAGCTGTGCTTCAGCTGGATGGCATTCCCTTCAGCCGACAAACTTGTGCTCTGGCAGACCTGTGCCAGTGTGCCTGGAGCTTTCGTCTAGCATGGAGTGCAATGAGATGTTGTCACTCCGTGCTCGGAAGACACGCTCCAATCTTGTTTCCCCCATTGAGACACAAGTTGACATTCAACCTCGGGAAGTTGCGCCACTTGTGGACCGCCAGGATGATCTAAACATCGCAGATTGGACCTTTTTCACCGAAAAAAGACACTGCATCGTCAAGCAACACAGCAGTCTGTGTCATGAAAACCAAAAGGTCACAAACCGTGGCCCAATCTGGTCAGTCCGAGGAAAATAGCAGCCACGTGTCGTCAGATGGAGGATCCGACTTCTCTTGATTTTACATGATTTGGCTTCAAATATAAGACGGGAGCTGGTGAAATGAGCAAAACTGTTTTCACCTTGGGTGTGAGGCCTGAACCCTCCACGTGTGGAGAGAGTTATATAAAAGGAACAATGAAGCAACATAAAGCAACAGAAGCCTGCCCTCATGGCTTTGTCTGGATCGATCACGTGGCTGTCGAGTGAATTAACCCAGCACGACAGGCAGATGGATGGACTTGTCTCAGCATTTGGGGTAAACAAAACGATGGTATTGTTGTCCTATTATGTCTTGTTTGCCTCATGCAACAGCTTGTGACAATGGTTGCAGTGGTACCACAAGGCAATTCAAGGTGGTGATGTGTGGGGCTGCTTAGACAAATGCACCAACCGACATTCTCGTGCATAATGCAGCTTTATCACTGCCCACTAAAGCATGCTTGAACCTTTCCTTGCTCAAGCTTTTACTGCGGAAGTACGCTTCTATCCGAGCGCAGCTTCACAGCATCAAGGTGAATTCTCATGAAATGGTTCGGGTGAGATTCAGCCTGAGCTAAGGAGATCTCTGTGACTTGTGATTCCAAAGAGACAAGAAAAAGAACAAGAAAACTACAGAGGAAAGAAGCTACTAGGGGCTCCTGGCATCGCTACTAGGAGCAAGGACGCTACTAGGAGCAAGAGTAGTATCCGCATCAAACGCGCTGCACAATGGATGCAAAAACTAGTCAGGCCAGAGGGTGCGTGCCTAATCTCTTTCTTGGCGGATGCAGTCCAGTGGCATCAACGCGACCACCAATTTGCAATTTTGGCTGCATCCTAAGTTGCATAGAAATCTACTCGGCATGAACTATGGCAAACATCTCTGAAGCTGTTCAAGCTGTGTCTTTTTCTCTTGTCAGCTTGGCAGCATCGTGGCTGTGCATTGTTGCACAGAGTGAAGAGCCACCAGGCATTCCATCGAAGCGAGTTCCAGTGCAAAACGTGTGCAAATGCACCCACCGAACGCTCACCGCCCAAGACTGGTGGATACACTGCTGCACCTCAGCAAGTGTCACACTCTTGTGACTCGGAGGGATAGAGAGAAATAAAAGAGAGAGAAAGAGAGAATGGTTTAATTGTCAACAATGAAAGTGGTTCCTCTTCTGTTGTCAAAGTGATATGTACTTTCAAACGGCTTCCGAATGCGAGGTCAGCACTGGCCCGGAGTGCCCGTGGGACCGGTATGTGTCGAAGCCACTGTGAAGCATCGTTTTCAGCATCGAATAAGTGCCTTAAAGGCAAACAAGGCAAGCAACTTAGGAGCAAGGACGCTACTAGGGGCTCCTGGCATCGC